AAGAGACAGACACAGAGACACAGAGACAGAGGAAGACACAGAGACACAGAGACAGAGACAGAGGCAGAGACAGAGACAGAGACAGAGGCAGAGACACAGAGGCGGAGACACAGAGACAGAGACGCAGAGACAGAGACACAGAGACAGAGGCAGAGACAGACACAGAGACAGAGACAGAGACAGAGGCAGAGGCAGAGACAGAGGAAGAGACAGACACAGAGACACAGAGACAGAGGAAGACACAGAGACACAGAGACAGAGACAGAGGCAGAGGCAGAGACACAGAGGCGGAGACAGAGACAGAGGCAGAGACAGAGACAGACACAGAGACAGAGGCAGAGACAGAGACAGAGGCAGAGGCAGAGACAGAGACAGACACAGAGACAGAGACAGAGACAGAGACAGAGGCAGAGACAGAGACAGAGACAGAGACAGAGGCAGAGGCAGAGACACAGAGGCGGAGACAGAGACAGAGGCAGAGACAGAGACAGACACAGAGACAGAGGCAGAGACAGAGACAGAGACAGAGGCAGAGGCAGAGACAGAGACAGAGACAGACACAGAGGCAGAGACAGAGACAGAGGCAGAGGCAGAGACAGAGAAGTCGTGTCTCATGTTAAAACTATGTTCAGTCTAATTGTTTTGTGCAGATGCAAACAGGACTTCCTCAGAGAGACAAAGAGGATTCAGACTGAGTCTTAAAATAGAAGAGTTAGAGCAGGTCTAAAGCAGGACTAAAGCAGGACTAAAGCAGGTCTAAAGCAGGACTAAAGCAGGACTAAAGCAGGTCTAAAGCAGGTCTAAAGCAGGTCTAAAGCAGGTCTAAAGCAGGTCTAAAGCAGGACTAAAGCAGGACTAAAGCAGGTCTAAAGCAGGTCTAAAGCAGGTCTAAAGCAGGTCTAAAGCAGGTCTAAAGCAGGTCTAAAGCAGGACTAAAGCAGGACTAAAGCAGGTCTAAAGCAGGTCTAAAGCAGGTCTAAAGCAGGTCTAAAGCAGGTCTAAAGCAGGACTAAAGCAGGTCTAAAGCAGGACTAAAGCAGGACTAAAGCAGGACTAAAGCAGGTCTAAAGCAGGTCTAAAGCAGGACTAAAGCAGGACTAAAGCAGGACTAAAGCAGGTCTAAAGCAGGACTAAAGCAGGACTAAAGCAGGTCTAAAGCAGGTCTAAAGCAGGACTAAAGCAGGTCTAAAGCAGGACTAAAGCAGGACTAAAGCAGGTCTAAAGCAGGTCTAAAGCAGGTCTAAAGCAGGACTAAAGCAGGACTAAAGCAGGTCTAAAGCAGGTCTAAAGCAGGTCTAAAGCAGGTCTAAAGCAGGTCTAAAGCAGGACTAAAGCAGGACTAAAGCAGGTCTAAAGCAGGTCTAAAGCAGGTCTAAAGCAGGTCTACAGCAGGACTAAAGCAGGACTAAAGCAGGTCTAAAGCAGGTCTAAAGCAGGACCAAAGCAGGTTAAAGTCCTGGTTTGTACCTGGTTGGTAGTTGCCAGTCACAAAAACATTGTAACTGTATTTAAATAATTGATGTATTGATAGATTTTCTGTTAAATGTCCAAACACGTGATGTCACACACGTGTCCTAAAGGGAAGTTGAACCGTTCTGGTCTAAAGGCTCTCACCAGGTTGTGGATGACGTTAGTGAGGGTCCAGACCACAGAGACACTGAAGAAGGGGATACTGAGCAGCACCACGTGGAGGACGCACACCCCCAGAGCGTACGTCAGCCACACGCCACGGCTGTTCATGACCCGCGTGTTGGGGTTCACCTCGCTGTGCGCCACGCCCACGTTCATCTCACCCTGGAGAAAAAACATGCACTTAACACAGGTTCATCTCACCCTGGAGAAAAAACATGCACTTAACACAGGTTCATCTCACCCTGGAGAAAAAACAGACACTGTACACAGGTTCATCTCATCCTGGAGAAAAAACAGACACTGTACACAGGTTCATCTCACCCTGGAGAAAAAACATACACTGTACACAGGTTCATCTCACCCTGGAGAAAAAACAGACACTGTACACAGGTTCATCTCACCCTGGAGAAAAAACATACACTGTACACAGGTTCATCTCACCCTGGAGAAAAAACAGACACTGTACACAGGTTCATCTCACCCTGGAGAAAAAACAGACACTGTACACAGGTTCATCTCCCCTGGAGAAAAAACATACACTGTACACAGGTTCATCTCACCCTGGAGAAAAAACATACACTGTACACAGGTTCATCTCACCCTGGAGAAAAAACATACACTGTACACAGGTTCATCTCACCCTGGAGAAAAAACATACACTGTACACAGGTTCATCTCACCCTGGAGAAAAAACAGACGCTGTACACAGGTTCATCTCATCTTGGAGAAAAAACAGACACTGTACACAGGTTCATCTCATCCTGGAGAAAAAACAGACACTGTACACAGGTTCATCTCACCCTGGAGAAAAAACAGACGCTGTACACAGGTTCATCTCACCCTGGAGAAAAAACAGACACTGTACACAGGTTCATCTCACCCTGGAGAAAAAACATACACTGTACACAGGTTCATCTCACCCTGGAGAAAAAACAGACACTGTACACAGGTTCATCTCACCCTGGAGAAAAAACAGACGCTGTACACAGGTTCATCTCACCCTGGAGAAAAAACATACACTGTACACAGGTTCATCTCACCCTGGAGAAAAAACATACACTGTACACAGGTTCATCTCACCCTGGAGAAAAAACAGACGCTGTACACAGGTTCATCTCACCCTGGAGAAAAAACATACACTGTACACAGGTTCATCTCACCCTGGAGAAAAAACATACACTGTACACAGGTTCATCTCACCCTGGAGAAAAAACATACACTGTACACAGGTTCATCTCACCCTGGAGAAAAAACATACACTGTACACAGGTTCATCTCACCCTGGAGAAAAAACAGACGCTGTACACAGGTTCATCTCACCCTGGAGAAAAAACATACACTGTACACAGGTTCATCTCACCCTGGAGAAAAAACAGACACTGTACACAGGTTCATCTCACCCTGGAGAAAAAACAGACACTGTACACAGGTTCATCTCACCCTGGAGAAAAAACAGACGCTGTACACAGGTTCATCTCACCCTGGAGAAAAAACATACACTGTACACAGGTTCATCTCACCCTGGAGAAAAAACATACACTGTACACAGGTTCATCTCACCCTGGAGAAAAAACAGACGCTGTACACAGGTTCATCTCACCCTGGAGAAAAAACATACACTGTACACAGGTTCATCTCACCCTGGAGAAAAAACAGACGCTGTACACAGGTTCATCTCATCTTGGAGAAAAAACAGACACTGTACACAGGTTCATCTCATCCTGGAGAAAAAACAAGACACTGTACACAGGTTCATCTCACCCTGGAGAAAAAACAGACGCTGTACACAGGTTCATCTCACCCTGGAGAAAAAACAGACACTGTACACAGGTTCATCTCACCCTGGAGAAAAAACATACACTGTACACAGGTTCATCTCACCCTGGAGAAAAAACAGACACTGTACACAGGTTCATCTCACCCTGGAGAAAAAACAGACGCTGTACACAGGTTCATCTCACCCTGGAGAAAAAACATACACTGTACACAGGTTCATCTCACCCTGGAGAAAAAACATACACTGTACACAGGTTCATCTCACCCTGGAGAAAAAACAGACGCTGTACACAGGTTCATCTCACCCTGGAGAAAAAACATACACTGTACACAGGTTCATCTCACCCTGGAGAAAAAACATACACTGTACACAGGTTCATCTCACCCTGGAGAAAAAACATACACTGTACACAGGTTCATCTCACCCTGGAGAAAAAACATACACTGTACACAGGTTCATCTCACCCTGGAGAAAAAACAGACGCTGTACACAGGTTCATCTCATCTTGGAGAAAAAACATACACTGTACACAGGTTCATCTCACCCTGGAGAAAAAACATACACTGTACACAGGTTCATCTCACCCTGGAGAAAAAACAGACACTGTACACAGGTTCATCTCACCCTGGAGAAAAAACATACACTGTACACAGGTTCATCTCACCCTGGAGAAAAAACAGACGCTGTACACAGGTTCATCTCACCCTGGAGAAAAAACATACACTGTACACAGGTTCATCTCACCCTGGAGAAAAAACATACACTGTACACAGGTTCATCTCACCCTGGAGAAAAAACAGACGCTGTACACAGGTTCATCTCACCCTGGAGAAAAAACATACACTGTACACAGGTTCATCTCACCCTGGAGAAAAAACATACACTGTACACAGGTTCATCTCACCCTGGAGAAAAAACAGACACTGTACACAGGTTCATCTCACCCTGGAGAAAAAACAGACGCTGTACACAGGTTCATCTCACCCTGGAGAAAAAACATACACTGTACACAGGTTCATCTCACCCTGGAGAAAAAACATACACTGTACACAGGTTCATCTCACCCTGGAGAAAAAACAGACGCTGTACACAGGTTCATCTCATCCTGGAGAAAAAACATACACTGTACACAGGTTCATCTCATCCTGGAGAAGACAGACACTGTACACAGGTTCATCTCATCCTGGAGAAAAAACAGACACTGTACACAGGTTCATCTCATCCTGGAGAAGACAGACACTGTACACAGGTTCATCTCATCCTGGAGAAAAAACATACACTGTACACAGGTTCATCTCATCCTGGAGAAGACAGACACTGTACACAGGTTCATCTCATCCTGGAGAAGACAGACAGGGCTAAACAAGAGAACCAGGAAACACACCATGGTGGGAAATCCGGGCCACTTGCAAGAGGACCGAGAGAAACTGGTGTGAGGGCCATATGTGGCTCGCGGGCCAGAGCTTGGACATACCGGTGTAAAGCTCAGGTGCCCAACTTTCACAACACAAACACGTAACGACCATAACTGACAATAAGCCACTACTTTAGGCCTGCAGTGATGCAGAAGTAGGCTTCACCCATAGTCCTCCTGATAATACACATTATCACCTGGTCCTCAGTCACATCTGGCTTTGTTCACTGTTATCCCTGTTACTTTTGTGTGTTTTACACTAAAAGACACGTTCAGAACATAGACTGTATATATTCATATATATATATGAATATATATGAATATATACAGTCTTATATATATATATATATAGTTCAGATAATACGATCATATGTTTACATTGGGAACTAACTTCATCTGGTCACCTTTAGACCCAAAAGAAGAAGAATGAGGTCGTAGTGTGATCTGTGAGCGGCCAAAGCCAGTGTGAGTGTGTGACTTACTGCGGAACGCTTTCAGCTGGATACGAATCTGGAATAAAGGCGATAAAGCGGAGAAAAAGGAAGAAAACAGCTCAAAACTGGATCGACATGTGTTTTACCCTGAAGTTTGTCTGGCAGGCTCAGACATGTGTTTTACCCTGAAGTTTGTCTGGCAGGCTCAGACATGTGTTTTACCCTGAAGTTTGTCTGGCAGGCTCAGACATGTGTTTTACCCTGAAGTTTGTCTGGCAGGCTCAGACATGTGTTTTACCCTGAAGTTTGTCTGGCAGGCTCAGACATGTGTTTTACCCTGAAGTTTGTCTGGCAGGCTCAGACATGTGTTTTACCCTGAAGTTTGTCTGGCAGGCTCAGACATGTGTTTTACCCTGAAGTTTGTCTGGCAGGCTCAGACATGTGTTTTACCCTGAAGTTTGTCTGGCAGGCTCAGCGCTTCTTCTGCTGGAAGTTTGCATCTGTGCGCAGTTACCGCCACCTACTGCTTAGTGCCAGATCCATCAGACCTCTGAGGCTAAGCAGTGCAGGGCCCCGTTAGTGCTGTGATGGGAGACCTCTGGGAACACCAGGTGCCAAAGTGCCAAACTATGGTTGTGTCCTTTGAAAGTTAGCCATTAGAATATTATAACCTAGAATAACTAACCAGACGGATCAGTTGAAAAGGCTCAGTGCCTGCATAAAGGACCTTAAAATGTGGATGACTCTTAACTTCCTACTTCTCAACCCGGAGAAGACAGAAGTGATCCTACTCGGTCCGAAGCGCCTGCGTGACTCCCTCACTAACCAGATAATTACTCTCGATGGTGTCAGTATAATACCCAGTAACACTGTGAGGAATCTTGGAGTCATTTTTGACCAAGAACTCTCCTTCAAGGGTTATATAAGCCAAGCAACTAAAACGGCGTACTTCCACTTACGGAACATCGCTAAAATCAGGAATTTCCTTCCTAAAAGTGACGCGGAAAAACTCATTCACGCGTTTGTCACCTCAAGGCTCGACTACTGTAACGCTTTACTGGCAGCGTGCCCTAAAGCCTCTTTGAAGAGCTTCCAGCTCGTTCAGAATACAGCAGCTAGGATCTTAACAGGCACCAAAAGGAGGGAGCACATAACTCCGGTGTTAAAATCACTCCACTGGCTCCTGTGGAGTACAGAATAAAGTTTAAAATCCTTCTCTTAACATATAAAGCCATAAATGGCTTGGCTCCTTCTTATCTCCAAGACACGTTAGTGTCGTATCAACCAGGTCGAGCGTTGCGCTCACAAAACGCCAGACGTCTGGTGGTCCCTAAGGTCTCAAAGGTCACTGTTGGTGGCAGAGCATTTAGCTCCAAGCTCCTTTACTGTGGAATCAGCTTCATTTATGTTAAGGAAGCAGATACGGTCTCCACATTCAAGGCCAGGCTTAAAGCACTTTACTTTAATTTAGCATATAATTAGGCTGTTTGCCTGGATCGGTTTGGCACACCTGGTGTGTAATCCATGAGTCTTGGTGCTGTAACCTGGGCTAGCCGTGGCTGCTCCTGTCTCGCCTCCTTTCAGATACGCTCTCTTTATTCAAGGCTAGGTTTAAAACAGTCCTCTTTAGTTTAGCATATGGCTAGGAAGGTAAGACTCAGGGAAGGCTAAACTCCTCAGACTGTCAGTCAAGCTGCATAGGTGAAGAAGATGACATAGTCTGGGATCGCGTCTTTCATTCAGACAGAAGACATGTTTTATTGTCGATGGTAGAGACAGCACGAACAACACGAACAACAGAATGCAAGTGTATTATACAGAGCGGAGGCATGGAGACCTCCAATCAGCAGCTGCCACGGTGCCATGATCTTATTTCAAGATGGCGCCTCGTACGGTCGACATGGCTCTTTTATTCTTTAGAAGTGTTTTTTATTCTTATTTTTATTATCTCTTTTTGACTGTTGCACTGAGCCAAAGCAATTTCCTAGTCTGTGACCTCCTGTTACTTACGTGGCAATAAAAATGATTCTGATTCTGATTCTGATGTAGCTTGGCCTTCAGATAGACAAAACAAGGGAAAAGTACTGGCTTCTGCACATTGATAGAATGATGAGTTTGCTTCAAAGTGTTATGAAATCTCACATAGGGAGCCCCCTGCTGGAGAAGTATGGTAACTTGAGCACTATCCTCTCCTCCTTCCCACTTTGTTTTATTTTTGTCTTTTAATGTTGTTTTGTGTCTGTACTTGTCCTGTGCACACGGGGAACTTTTACAAATGTATTCCAATGTGGTGTATACATACTGCAAATGGCGAAATAAAATGAATCTGAATCTGAATCTGATCTTTACCTGTTTAGCATTATTAGGATTTTGACTGTAGTTTGTTCATTGCTATTCACCCGTTGTCCCATTGTCTGTTTCATGGTACGATGACGGGATCTCTGAGCCTGGCCTCCTCCATCTGCACCTGCGGACTGCCCCGCCCGACCCGCCTGGGAGTGACATTTATCAACATGTATGACATTTATCAACATGTGTGACATTTATCAACATGTGTGACATTTATCAACATGTGTGACATTTATCACATGTATGACATTTATCAACATGTATGACATTTATCAACATGTGTGACATTTATCAACATGTGTGACATTTATCAACATGTGTGACATTTATCACATGTGTGACATTTATCACATGTATGACATTTATCACACGTATGACATTTATCACATGTATGACATTTATCACACGTATGACATTTATCAACATGTATGACATTTATCACATGTATGACATTTATCAACATGTATGACATTTATCACATGTATGACATTTATCACATGTGTGACATTTATCACATGTATGACATTTATGACATGTATGACATTTATCACATGTGTGACATTTATCACATGTATGACATTTATCACACGTATGACATTTATCACATGTATGACATTTATCAACATGTATGACATTTATCACATGTATGACATTTATCAACATGTATGACATTTATCACATGTATGACATTTATCACATGTATGACATTTATCACACGTATGACATTTATCACATGTATGACATTTATCAACATGTATGACATTTATCACACGTATGACATTTATCACATGTATGACATTTATCAACATGTATGACATTTATCACATGTATGACATTTATCACACGTATGACATTTATCAACATGTATGACATTTATCACATGTATGACATTTATCAACATGTATGACATTTATCACATGTATGACATTTATCACATGTGTGACATTTATCACATGTATGACATTTATGACATGTATGACATTTATCACATGTGTGACATTTATCACATGTATGACATTTATCACATGTACAGTATGACATTTATCAACATGTATGACATTTATCACATGTGTGACATTTATCACATGTATGACATTGATGACATGTATGACATTTATCACATGTATGACATTTATCAACATGTGTGACATTTATCACATGTATGACATTTATCAACATGTATGACATTTATCACATGTGTGACATTTATCACAAGTATGACATTTATCACATGTATGACATTTGTCAACATGTATGACATTTATCACATGTATGACATTTATCAACATGTATGACATTTATCACATGTATGACATTTATCACATGTATGACATTTGTCAACATGTATGACATTTATCACATGTGTGACATTTATCACATGTATGACATTTATCACATGTATGACATTTATCAACATGTATGACATTTATCACATGTGTGACATTTATCACATGTATGACATTTATCACATGTATGACATTTATCAACATGTATGACATTTATCACATGTGTGACATTTATCACATGTATGACATTTATCACATGTATGACATTTATCAACATGTATGACATTTATCACATGTATGACATTTATCACATGTATGACATTTATCACATGTGTTCTATATTCTTTCTGTGTGTTAACTGTTGATTCTCTGATCTGTTTTGGTGATTTCAATGGTTTTGTTCAGTCTCTGAGATGATGCTGTTGTGATTTAGGGCTATACAAGAATAAGTTGTATTGAATTGTATTGTATTGTAAATCAAATGCAACGGTTTTATACAGCACATTTTTGGACACTCAAACCATGTCCAAACCCTATGCCCCATGGCAGCTGTGGCCTGAATTTAAAAAGGCCAGAATTTAGTTTTTTATTGGAATTGTTTCCAACCGCAAACGAGCGCCGCCACCTTCTCCTGTCAGACAAACTCAGGGAAAAATCATCCCTGCACGAGTCCCGCCTCCTCCAGAATCAGCCAATCAGCGCCTGGATCACGGGGCGGGAGCGCGAACCACTTCCGCGTTGTTCCTCATGTGTTTTGTTTACGAAAAATCCGCCGTGACTCCTGCAGGTTCAACCCCGCTTTAAAACTGGTGAGTTCTTTAACTTCATAAATAACTACAGTTTGTGAGACTTTAACTTCATAAATAACTACAGTGCGTTAAAAAGAGTGAAGATAAACCCCTCCAGATGCAGCACAGCCAAACAACTGTTAAAACCAGTGTGGGCGGGTCCCGGCTCAAAAGTGTCCAAAATGACGTGCGCTGACATGCTGCAGTACCACCCCGGGCCTGTGGGGGTGGACCCTGACATGCTGCAGTACCACCCCGGGCCTGTGGGGGTGGACCCTGACATGCTGCAGTACCACCCCGGGCCTGTGGGGGTGGACCCTGACATGCTGCAGTACCACCCCGGGCCTGTGGGGGTGGACTCTGACATGCTGCAGTACCACCCCAGGCCTGTGGGGGTGGACCCTGACATGCTGCAGTACCACCCCGGGCCTGTGGGGGTGGACCCTGACATGCTGCAGTACCACCCCGGGCCTGTGGGGGTGGACCCTGACATGCTGCAGTACCACCCCGGGCCTGTGGGGGTGGACCCTGACATGCTGCAGTACCACCCCGGGCCTGTGGGGGTGGACCCTGACATGCTGCAGTACCACCCCGGGCCTGTGGGGGTGGACCCTGACATGCTGCAGTACCAACCCGGGCCTGTGGGGGTGGACTCTGACATGCTGCAGTACCACCCCGGGCCTGTGGGGGTGGACCCTGACATGCTGCAGTACCACCCCGGGCCTGTGGGGGTGGACTCTGACATGCTGCAGTACCACCCCGGGCCTGTGGGGGTGGACCCTGACATGCTGCAGTACCACCCCGGGCCTGTGGGGGTGGACCCGGAATAAGAATTAGCCAATGCTAACATATAGCATTAGCTGACCTCTGGAAAACGTCTTTACAGGATGGACCTAAAGTTGTCTCTTGGTCCAAAGCTCCGTTCCACATGTGTGTCAATGCTGAGTGTTCTGGACCAGTCTAGTTTAGCCGCTGTGGACTTTAGAAGTCTCTCGTTTAAATGAATGGGGCTCTCTCCGGCTGACGCATGCGCAGATGTGTTTTTTCACAATTTTCTTGTGGGCGGGACCACTCGCGGCCATTTTGGATAGCTCCAGTAGAGCACATTTTTGGCCCATTAGTTAGAACGGCGCAGATAGGCCTGACTCTGTCCGTTCATATATACAGTCTATGGTTAAAACCTGGATCTGAACATTAGAGAAGAAGTCTGTCTCACATTCTCAGGAAGAAGGCTCCAGATTTTAGCATCAACCTGAAACACTGCTGTTTAGTCCTGACTCTGGGACCAGCAGGAGTCCAGTCCCTGTGCTCCTCTAACATATCACAAATGTACTTTGCTACGAGGCCATTGAGAGACTTGTAAACCTGAGACCAGGACTAATGTGAGAGGACTTCAGGACAGAGACCTGAGACCAGGACTAATGTGAGAGGACTTCAGGACAGAGACCTGAGACCAGGACTAATGTGAGAGGACTTCAGGACAGAGACCTGAGACCAGGACTAATGTGAGAGGACTTCAGGACAGAGACCTGAGACCAGGACTAATGTGAGAGGATTTCAGGACAGAGACCTGAGACCAGGACTAATGTGAGAGGACTTCAGGACAGAGACCTGAGACCAGGACTAATGTGAGAGGACTTCAGGACAGAGACCTGAGACCAGGACTAATGTGAGAGGACTTCAGGACAGAGACCTGAGACCAGGACTAACGTGGCGGTCCCTCCTGGTGTCTTGCAGTGGTACCATGAAGCAGCTGTCCTCTCTCACCGTGCGCCTCGTGTCCAGCGCTCAGGTCGTGACGTCGGTGCTGAACGTAGTGAAGGAACTGACGGAGAACGCTCTGGACGCAGAGGCCACGAGCATCGACGTCAAACTGGTAAAAGGCTGAGGCCGCAGACCCAGGACTGAGGCCGCAGACCCAGGATTGAGGCCGCAGACCCAGGACTGAGGCCGCAGACCCAGGACTGAGGCCGCAGACCCAGGACTGAGGCCGCAGACCCAGGACTGAGGCTGTATGTGTTGGTTCCTCAGGAGAACTTCGGTCTGGAGCGGGTGGAGGTGAGGGATGATGGTTGTGGGATCGCGGCCCCAGATGCTGCGGTGATGGGCGTCCGTCACTACACTTCAAAGATCTGCTCTCACCACGACCTGGACTCTCTGCAGAGCTACGGCTTCAGAGGAGAAGCCCTGGGATCTATCTGTGCTGTGGCCCAGGTCAGACCAGAGGGGGAGACCAGAGGGAGAGACCAGAGAGGGACCAGAGAGGGACCAGAGGGAGACCAGAGGGAGACCAGAGAGAGACCAGAGGGAGACCAGAGAGGGACCAGAGGGAGACCAGAGGGAGACCAGAGGGAGACCAGAGAGAGACCAGAGAGAGACCAGAGAGAGACCACAGAGAGAGACCAGAGAGAGACCAGAGAGAGAGACCAGAGAGAGAGACCAGAGAGAGACCAGAGAGAGACCAGAGAGAGACCAGAGGGAGACCAGAGAGAGACCAGAGGGAGACCAGAGAGGGACCAGAGGGAGACCAGAGGGAGACCAGAGGGAGACCAGAGGGAGACCAGAGGGAGACCAGAGAGAGACCAGAGGGAGACCAGAGGGAGACCAGAGGGAGACCAGAGAGGGACCAGAGGGAGACCAGAGAGGGACCAGAGGGAGACCAGAGGGAGACCAGAGGGAGACCAGAGGGAGACCAGAGAGAGAGACCAGAGAGAGACCAGAGAGAGACCAGAGGGAGACCAGAGGGAGACCAGAGAGAGAGAGCAGAGAGAGAGCAGAGAGAGACCAGAGAGAGACCAGAGAGAGACCAGAGGGAGACCAGAGGGAGACCAGAGAGAGAGACCAGAGGGAGAGAGCAGAGAGAAACCAGAGAGAGAGACCAGAGAGAGAGAGCAGAGAGAGAGAGCAGAGAGAGAGAGCAGAGGGAGAGACCAGAGAGAGAGACCAGAGCGAGAGAGCAGAGCGAGAGACCAGAGCGAGAGACCAGAGAGAGAGACCAGAGAGAGAGAGCAGAGAGAGAGAGCAGAGAGAGAGAGCAGAGGGAGAGACCAGAGAGAGAGACCAGAGGGAGAGAGCAGAGAGGGAGAGCAGAGAGCCAAAGACTTCCTGGTACTTACTTCCATATTTCTGACTCTGGTTTTCGTGGTTGGGTTTGGGTTAAGTCTTATGGTTCTTAGGGTTGTTGTGGTTGGGTGCAGGTGACTGTTACCACAAAGACCAGAGAGGACCATGTGAGCACTCAGTACAGTCTGGACAGCAGCGGGACCATCAAGGCTCAGAGGCCCTCACACCTGGGACAAGGTGGGACTCTGCAAAACTCTTCATACCATCGCGTGTGTGTGTTTGTGTGTGTGTTGCAGGGACAACAATGTGTGTGTGTTGCAGGGACCATAGTGTGCTTTCAGAAGTTGTTCCAGTGTGTGTGTGTTGCAGGGACCACAGTGTGCGTTCAGAAGTTTTTCCAGTGTGTGTGTGTGTGTTGCAGGGACCACAGTGTGCGTTCAGAAGTTGTTCCTGTGTGAGTGTGTGTGTTGCTGGGACAACAATGTGTGTGTGTGTTGCAGGGACCATAGTGTGCTTTCAGAAGTTGTTCCAGTGTGTGTGTGTGTGTTGCAGGGACCACAGTGTGCGTTCAGAAGTTGTTCCTGTGTGAGTGTGTGTGTTGCAGGGACCACAGTGTGCGTTCAGAAGTTGTTCCAGTGTGTGTGTGTTGCAGGGACCACAGTGTGCGTTCAGAAGTTGTTCCTGTGTGAGTGTGTGTGTTGCTGGGACAACAATGTGTGTGTGTGTTGCAGGGACCATAGTGTGCTTTCAGAAGTTGTTCCAGTGTGTGTGTGTTGCAGGGACCACAGTGTGCGTTCAGAAGTTGTTCCTGTGTGAGTGTGTGTGTTGCAGGGACAACAATGTGTGTGTGTGTTGCAGGGACCATAGTGTGCTTTCAGAAGTTGTTCCAGTGTAAGTGTGGGTGTTGCAGGGACCACAGTGTGCGTTCAGAAGTTGTTCCAGTGTGTGTGTGTGTTGCAGGGACCACAGTGTGCGTTCAGAAGTTGTTCCAGTGTGTGTGTGTTGCAGGGACCATAGTGTGCGTTCAGAAGTTGTTCCAGTGTGTGTTTGTGTGTGTGTTGCAGGGACCACAGTGTGCGTTCAGAAGTTGTTCCAGTGTGTGTTTGTGTGTTGCAGGGACCACAGTGTGCGTTCAGAAGTTGTTCCTGTGTGAGTGTGTGTGTTGCAGGGACCACAGTGTGCGTTCAGAAGTTGTTCCAGTGTGTGTGTGTGTTGCAGGGACCACAGTGTGCGTTCAGAAGTTGTTCCTGTGTGAGTGTGTGTGTGTGTTGCAGGGACCACAGTGTGCGTTCAGAAGTTGTTCCAGTGTGTGTTTGTGTGTGTGTTGCAGGGACCACAGTGTGCGTTCAGAAGTTGTTCCAGTGTGTGTTTGTGTGTGTGTTGCAGGGACCATAGTGTGCGTTCAGAAGTTGTTCCAGTGTGTGTGTGTGTGTTGCAGGGACCACAGTGTGCGTTCAGAAGTTGTTCCAGAACCTTCCGGTGCGGAGACAGTTCTATTCTTCGTCTCAAAAATGTAAAGAGGAACTGAAGAAGGTGCAGCAGCTGCTCACGGCCTTCGCCATCGTCAGACCAGGACTGAGGCTGTCCCTGTGCCACAATAAGGTATCACAGGTACACACCGGGACTGAGGCTGTCCCTGTGCCACAATAAGGTATCACAGGTACACACCGGGACTGAGGCTGTCCCTGTGCCACAATAAGGTATCACAGGTACACACCAGGACTGAGTCTGCCTCTGAAGCTGCTCTCCAGACCAGAGTGACCTGCAGGGGGCGACAGTCATGGTCCACATACAGTGCCTTGCGAAAGTATTCGGCCCCCTTGAACCTTTCAACATTTTGCCACATTTCAGGCTTCAAACATAAAGATATAACATTTTAATATTTTGTCATGAATCAACAACAAGTGGGACACAATCGTGAAGTGGAACAAAATTTATTAGATAATTTAAACTTTTTTAACAAATAAAAAACTGAAAAGTGGGGCGTGCAATATTATCGGGCCCCTTTACTTTCAGTGCAGCAAACTCAGTCCAGAAGTTCAGTGAGGATCTTTGAATGATCCAATGTTGTCCTAAATGACTGATGATGATAAATAGAATGCACCTGTGTGTAATCAAGTCTCCGTATAAATGCACCTGCTCTTTGATAGTCTCAGGGTTCTGTTTAAAGCACAGAGAGAACCATGAAGACAAAGGAACACACCAGGCAGGTCTGAGATACTGTTGTGGAGAAGTTTAAAGCCGGATTTGGATACAAAAAGATTTCCCAAGCTTTAAACATCTCAAGGAGCACTGTGCAAGCAATTATATTGAAATGGAAGGAGTATCAGACCACTGCAAATCTACCAAGACCCGGCCGTCCCTCCAAACTTTCATCTCAAACAAGGAGAAGACTGATCAGAGATGCAGTCAAGAGGCCCATGATCACTCTGGATGAACTGCAGATAACTACAGCTGAGGTGGGAGAGTCTGTCCATAGGACAACAATCAGTCGTGCACTGCACAAATCTGGCCTTTATGGAAGAGTGGCAAGAAGAAAGCCATTTCTCAAAGATATCCATAAAAGTCTGGTTTAAAGTTTGCCACAAGCCACCTGGGAGACACACCAAACATGTGGAAGAAGGTGCTCTGGTCAGATGAAACCAAAATGGAACTTTTTGGCCACAATGCAAAACGATATGTTTGGCGTAAAAGCAACACAGCTCATCACCCTGAACACACCATCCCCACTGTCAAACATGGTGGTGGCAGCATCATGCTTTGGGGCTGCTTTTCTTCAGCAGGGACAGGGAAGATGGCTAACATTGATGGGAAGATGGATGGAGCCAAATACAGGACCATTCTGGAAGAAAACCTGTTGGAGTCTGCAAAAGACCTGAGACTGGGACGGAGATTTATCTTCCAACAGGACAATGATCCAAAACATAAAGCCAAATCTACAATGGAATGGTTCACAAATAGACGTATCCAGGTGTTAGAATGGCCAAGTCAAAGTCCAGACCTGAATCCAATCGAGAATCTGTGGAAAGAGCTGAAGACTGCTGTTCACAAACGCTCTCCATCCAACCTCACTGAGCTCCAGCTGTTTTGCTAGGAAGAATGGGCAAGAATTCTAGTCTCTCGATGTGCAAAACTGATAGAGACATACCCCAAGCGACTTGCAGCTGTAATTGCAGCAAAAGGTGGCGCTACAAAGTATTAGCGCACGCCCCACTTTTCAGTTTTTTAAAAAAAAATTTTTACTCTTTATTTATGATTTTTCAAGCGTGGCTCCATAGATATTTTATATCCAAATACCTTTTCCATTTCCATCACAATATTTTGCCAAAAAGGTTTAATATTCGTACACTTCCAAAACACATGAGAGTGATCGGCACTCCAGCTGCCACAAAGTCTCCAGCACTGCTGAGGGGTTTTCAATTGATTACTTTTAATATGTGGAGTGAGAAAAAATCTGATCAGATTTTTCCATCCAAATTCTCTCCATTGTCTCGAACTGGTTGAAGTGTGCTGTAAAAGACATATGGAGCCAATCCTCCTCTGACAATTCAATTTGTAATTCTTTTTCCCATTTCTGTTTGATATATAAGGAGTTATTCTAGGGGACATTTTGCAAGCATTTGTATAGTCTGGATACAATTTTAGAGGGTAAGCATCGATATGCTCCAATAATGATTTCCAATAGGTCACTCTTTTCCTGTGAAGTCTGATTTAGAATTTCTGTATTAAAGAAATGTCTTAATTGGAATTATCTAAACAAATCGGATTTATCAAGGTCAAATTCCTGCTGTAATTTCCCAAAAGATTTAAATACTTTTCCATCCGTTAGTGTACACATAGCTGTCATCCCCCTCTTTGTCCATTTTGTAAATGTGCTATCTAATTGGCCACTTTTAAATTTTGGATTAAAGGCTGGCCACCCCAACAATTTGCATTCACCTTCAATTTTGCGTTCATTCACTACTTCCCACCAAACTTTTAAAGTTGTTTCAATGATTGGGTTATCTAGATCACCCGATTTACAAGTTTTATCACTCAATCTAATTTGTGGTGGACATGATGAGTAATTTAGCTCAATACGTTTCCATTTAGCATCATATTCTGATGAACACCAGTGTACAATGTTTCTGAGTTGGGCAGCTCGAAAGTATTGTTTAAAATTAGGAAGGGCAAGCCCCCCACTTTTTTTATCTAGCTGTAGCGTTTTTAATCTGACTCTGGGTTTTGTACCTTTCCAAATGAATCTGCTGACTAATTTGTTCCATTTAGCAAATTGAGACTCTGGTATGTTTATTGGGAGAGACATGAACAGATAAAGTAATCTAGGCAAAATATTCATTTTTATGACCTCTATTCGTGAACTGAGATCCAAAACAAGGGAAGACCACTTTGTGAGATCTTTTTGAATTACATCATTAATGTTCGTGTAATTAACTTCGTATAATGCACTTGTCTCTCTCGGTAAGTAGACACCTAGGTATTTTACCTTGTTTGAGTCCCACTGCAGTTTGTATTCCTGTCTGATTGAGTCTATAGGGCGATAATTAAGACATAGTACTTGAGTCTTGGAGATATTTAATTTATATCCAGACTTTTCTCCAAAGTGTTGTAGGATTTGCATTAATTGGGGGAAAGTAGCATCAGGGTTCTGGAGGAATAAGATTATGTCATCGGCAAAGAGTCCTGTTCGATGCTCCTCCTTGGATATTGTGACTCCCTTAATGTCATCACTTTGCCGTATATGCTGAGCTAATGGCTCAATAAACAACGCAAAGAGAGCGGGGCTTAGGTCACAACCCTGCCTCGTACCTCTAGAAAGCTCAAAGCTATCCGTTAAGTCACCATTTACTTTTATTCTGGCCGTTGGCCTGTGATACAAGGCCTGGATACAATTTATAATGGCTTCATTAAAGCCCATTCTTTTCAGAGTAGCAAATAGAAAAGTCCATGAGACCCTATCAAATGCCTTTTCGGCGTCGAGGCTTAGTAAAAGCTGTCGGAATATTTTCTTTATTAATTTCATTCATTATGTGCAATGTGCGCCGTATGTTGTCTTGTGTTTGTCGGCCCTTTATGAATCCTGTCTGGTCTTCATCAATGAGGTCTGGAAGAAAGAGCTCAATTCTTTTAGTGATTATGGAGGTGAATAACTTGTAATCTACATTTAAAATAGAGATGGGGCGGTAGGACTCGCAATACTCCTTATTTTTGCCTTCTTTTGGTATAACTGATATTATAGGCTCCTTCCAAGAGGGAGGGGTCTTTGCATGCCGAAGTGTCCAATTGAAAGATTTTAAAATGATGCATATTAGATCGTCTTTGAACATTTTGTAAAATTCATTAGGATAGCCATCACTCCCTGGGCTTTTATTGTTCTTCAATCTTTTAATTGCTTTGTCGAGTTCTTCTCTAGTAATTGGTTTAGTTAAAGATTCATTTTGGATGTTTCCGATAGAAGGGAGATCTAAATTATTCAAATAATCTACTATTTTGTCTGCTGTTATTTGGTTTTCCTGGTCATATAGAGTTTTATAATAGTTTAGAAAAGCCTTTTTAATTTGTCTTGGATCATTTCTAATTTCCTTACTTACTGGATCTCTAATCTTATTAATTGAATTCCGCACTCGTAGTGAACGCAGACGTTTAGCCAATACTTTAGTCGCTTTAGGACCTGAGTCATAAAAAGTTTGTTTGGTGAATCGCATTTTCTTTTCAATTTCTTCGTTTGCCAAATCTGTCAATTGTTTTCTTACTTCTCTTATGCTTTGTGCCATAGTATCACTGGTATCTATATGCTGTTGTTTTTCTAGTTGCTTCAATTTTGTTTCCAAATTTGATTGTCTCTGTCTTTTCCTCTTATTAATATGGGCGGTCCTTGATATCAAGCTCCCTCGCATTACGGCCTTGATAGTATCCCATATAATCGTTGGCTCTATTTCAGGATCATTGTTATAATTAATGCATTCTTGTATTTCGTTTCTAATTTCCTGTACAACTTTTTCATTGTTGGCCAATGTTCATTCTCCATAATGTTTTCCTTTTTTCATTTTGCAAGTGTATAGTCAAATTTATGGCATTATGATCTGACAAATGTGCTATTCCAATATTACAGTCTATAACTCGATGTCTGTCCATGCTGTTCATCAGAAAAAAGTCAATTCGTGAATGAACTTTGTGGGCTGCTGAGAAATGAGTGTAATCTCTTTCCAGAGGGTGCAGGTCTCTCCAGACATCACAAAGGTCCAACTCCTTGATAAGTGAGTTTAGGGCTTTTGATTTATTGTTTTTGGATCTTTTATTACTTGTTGAGTCTTTTATGTGATCTACGACAGTGTTCCAGTCACCGCCACAGATTAGTATCCCCTCATTCAGGCTGGAGATCCTGTCAAATATTAGTTGGTAAAATGTTTTATCAATTTCTGGAGGAGAATACACATTTATTAAATTAACCAGTGTATTGTCAATTCTCCCCTTCACAGCAACATATCTATTTTCATTGTCACAGTCCTCCTCCAGTATCTCAAAATTAACTGCATCTGAAATTAAAGTTATCACTCCTCTTCTCCTGCTATTTTTATGTGAACTGTAGAAAGAATTACTGTAACCAAACTTTTTGAATTTTTCATGCTCTTCTCTAGACATATGAGTTTCCTGAATGAATATGACATGCGCGCTTCTGTAAACTGCAACTCCATCCTGCCAGTGAACTCGTATGCTTGTGTATGGCGTTTGGAAGCGCACGCCTCTCTCCTTCAGTGCCTTCTTAATCACTTGATATTCCTTGCGCCTTTGGACAATCTCTGTAGCATAGTCGTGGTCAAAGTATACAACATTGCCGTTCAGCTGGATCCGCCCCTTTCTCCAAGCCTCTCTCAGGATTAATTCTTTCGTGGTGAACTCCTGAAAGTTAACCACGATGGGTCTTGGCGGGGCACCGGGGTTTCTGTGCGGGGACGCAGTGAGCCCGTTGTATCTTTAGCTCTATGCCCGTCAGAACTCGCGCTGGAGAAAGTCCGCCATGAATTGCATTACGGATGTGTTCTCTTCTCCTTCTCCCACTCCAAAAAGACGAATATTGTTTCTACGGGACCTGGATTCGAGGTCGGTAACCTTGGATTGCAGGTTTCTTTGTCGTTTGAGGCATTCAGAGAGCGCCTCTGTCAGCACCAGTGTCACGTCCTCCACCTCGGACACTCGAGTTTCTGCAGTCCCCATTCGCTCTTTCAAGTCTTGTATGTCCTCAGTCACCGTATCCAGTTTGTTGCTCAGTTCCAGTTGCATTGTATTTATATTACTTCTCAGCTTTTCGTTGTCTTCTTTCAATTCGGATTTGAGTGACTCGATAGCCCGGAGCAGATCGCTCGTAGTGACTCCAGGCCCAGTTGCACTCGCGTTAGCTTGATCTGCTACAGGGTTAGCATCTCCAGATGGAGCGCTCTTTTCTTGCTTTCTATTCGGCATTCTGTAACTTCTTGGCCTCTACACGTTGCTTTCCCACCTATCAGTTATCTTTACCCAAACAGAGTCGCGTATTTTCGAGTTTAGGTGGGAATTTCTTTTAAATTAGGGAGCAGCCACCACGCTTTGGTCCGTCTCAGATCGCCATGACACCGGAAGTCCTCTTTTCAGTTTTTTATTTGTAAAAAAAGTTTAAATTATCGAATACATTTTGTTCCACTTCACGATTGTGTCCCACTTGTTGTTGATTCTTGACAAAAAATTTAATTTTTATATCTTTATGTTTGAAGCCTGATATGTTGAAAGGTTCAAGGGGGCCAAATACTTTCACAAGGCACTGTACATGTAGATCTAGACCAGAGTGTCCTGTAGGGGGCGACAGTCATGGTCCACATACATGTAGATCTAGACCAGAGTGTCCTGTAGGGGGCGACAGTCATGGTCCACATACATGTAGATCTAGACCAGAGTGTCCTGTAGGGGGCGACAGTCATGGTCCACATACATGTAGATCTAGACCAGAGTGTCCTGTAGGGGGCGACAGTCATGGTCCACATACATGTAGATCTAGACCAGAGTGTCCTGTAGGGGGCGACAGTCATGGTCCACATACATGTAGATCTAGACCAGAGTGTCCTGTAGGGGGCAACAGTCATGGTCCACATACATGTAGATCTAGACCAGAGTGTCCTGTAGGGGGCGACAGTCATGGTCCACATACATGTAGATCTAGACCAGAGTGTCCTGTAGGGGGCGACAGTCATGGTCCACATACATGTAGATCTAGACCAGAGTGTCCTGTAGGGGGCGACAGTCATGGTCCACATACATGTAGATCTAGACCAGAGTGTCCTGTAGGGGGCGACAGTCATGGTCCACATACATGTAGATCTAGACCAGAGTGTCCTGTAGGGGGCAACAGTCATGGTCCACATACATGTAGATCTAGACCAGAGTGATCTGTAGGGGGCGACAGTCATGGTCCACATACATGTAGATCTAGACCAGAGTGTCCTGTAGGGGGCGACAGTCATGGTCCACATACATGTAGATCTAGACCAGAGTGTCCTGTAGGGGGCAACAGTCATGGTCCACATACATGTAGATCTAGACCAGAGTGATCTGTAGGGGGCGACAGTCATGGTCCACATACATGTAGATCTAGACCAGAGTGTCCTGTAGGGGGCGACAGTCATGGTCCACATACATGTAGATCTAGACCAGAGTGTCCTGTAGGGGGCAACAGTCATGGTCCACATACATGTAGATCTAGACCAGAGTGACCTGTAGGGGGCGACAGTCATGGTCCACATACATGTAGATCTAGACCAGAGTGTCCTGTAGGGGGCAACAGTCATGGTCCACATACATGTAGATCTAGACCAGAGTGACCTGTAGGGGGCGACAGTCATGGTCCACATACATGTAGATCTTGACCAGAGTGTCCTGTAGGGGGCGACAGTCATGGTCCACATACATGTAGATCTAGACCAGAGTGTCCTGTAGGGGGCGACAGTCATGGTCCACATACATGTAGATCTAGACCAGAGTGTCCTGTAGGGGGCGACAGTCATGGTCCACATACATGTAGATCTAGACCAGAGTGTCCTGTAGGGGGCGACAGTCATGGTCCACATACATGTAGATCTAGACCAGAGTGTCCTGTAGGGGGCGACAGTCATGGTCCACATACATGTAGATCTAGACCAGAGTGTCCTGTAGGGGGCGACAGTCATGGTCCACATACATGTAGATCTAGACCAGAGTGTCCTGTAGGGGGCGACAGTCATGGTCCACATACATGTAGATCTAGACCAGAGTGTCCTGTAGGGGGCGACAGTCATGGTCCACATCAGGGGTGCTCACACTTTTTCAGCATGCGAGCTACTTATAAAAGGATCAAGTCAAAATGATCTACCTACTACAAAAATGCAAATCATATATTTATTTCAAAAAATATTCTTTATACCTACAATGTATGTTTATGTACATGCAAAACCGCATGAGCCAATATAGCACAACACAACACAATTACCTATGTACATTTTTTGTCATTACCCGAGTTTACTCTGATGACTTGCACTGAATTGAATCGGCCAGGGATGCATAGTCCGGAAAATTGGTGGCAACTCGCTGACAAGTTTGTCGTGGTTTAGCTTTCCTGCACTGAGCGCGGTTGTTTGCGCATGTGCAGTCACCTAAGTGTCAGTAAAACATTACTGAGTAAAACACAGATGTCATTTGACTGTGGTGCCATGTCCATGTGCCATGCCTGTTTTTTTTAAATCCAAATATTTCCCCTCCTCAGTTTATAAAATAATTTGCATCCACACATCTGCGTTATCAATCACATTCGTAACATTCCAAACATGTGCGTCTCTTACGTCCTGTCCTGCGTTGGGGAAAAACACAGAAGTGGGCGGAGCTTTGATGCAGAGGCCGGTAACAGCACTTTTACAGTCATAGAAGACACTCAGAGTAAAGATGTATGTTTACAAGCACTGACCCCGTCCTCAGCCCTGATTTAGCCCTGATTTAGCCCTGGTTTAGTCCTGGTTTAGTCCTGGTTTAGTCCTGGTTTAGTCCTGGTTTGGTTGTTTTTGAGCGTGAGTCCCCGCGATCACTTTGCTGCTCTCTGATGTGGAGGATGTTCGCTGCTGCGAGCATCTCACAGCGAACAGTTTTTAAGGTAGTATGATCCATGCTTCAGTGATCAGAGGAATTTAGGGGGGTACTGTGGCGCAAAACTCCGGTTATCTCTGTCTACACACAAATGCATTAACGGAGTTTTCAAAAATCTCCACTTTGCCCGGAGTTTTTTGTATATATTCGTTTAGAATGTGTATTTATTTATTTAATGCGATCTACCAATACTACCTTTGCGATCGACTGGTAGATCGCGATCGACGTATTGAGCACCCCTGGTCCACATACATGTAGATCTAGACCAGAGTGACCTGTAGGGGGCGACAGTCATGGTCCACATACATGTAGATCTAGACCAGAGTGACCTGTAGGGGGCAACAGTCATGGTCCACATACATGTAGATCTAGACCAGAGTGTCCTGTAGGGGGCGACAGTCATGGTCCACATACATGTAGATCTAGACCAGAGTGACCTGTAGGGGGCGACAGTCATGGTCCACATACATGTAGATCTAGACCAGAGTGTCCTGTAGGGGGCGACAGTCATGGTCCACATACATGTAGATCTAGACCAGAGTGTCCTGTAGGGGGCAACAGTCATGGTCCACATACATGTAGATCTAGACCAGAGTGACCTACAGGGGGCGACAGTCATGGTCCACATACATGTAGATCTAGACCAGAGTGATCTTTTGACCCAATCAGGAGATAGTGGGTCATTCCCACAGACACACACAGGTGTAGTTCTGCCACAGCAGCAGTAGAGGGCAGTGTTGGTCCATCACTGTAGACACTGAGGATCTCTGTTTGGATCAGAACACAGTTTATCAACAGTTAAAGCTGGGGTATGTACATTTTAAAACACATGCAATATAACAAAAAAGACTCTCTTTTACACTCTGGTCTCTCTCTGGTCTCTCTCTGGTCTCTCTCTCTGGTCTCTCTCTGGTCTCTCTCTCTGGTCTCTCTCTGGTCTCTCTCTCTGGTCTCTCTCTGGTCTCTCTCTGGTCTCTCTCTCTAGTCTCTCTCTGGTCTCTCTCTCTGGTCTCTCTCTGGTCTCTCGCTGGTCTCTCTCTCTAGTCTCTCTCTCTGCTCTCTCTCTCTGGTCTCTCTCTGGTCTCTCTCTCTGGTCTCTCTCTCTGGTCTCTCTCTGGTCTCTCTCTCTGGTCTCTCTCTGGTCTCTCTCTCTGGTCTCTCTGGTCACTCTCTGGTCTCTCTCTCTGGTCTCTCTCTGGTATCTCTCTCTAGTCTCTCTCTCTGCTCTCTCTGGTCTCTCTCTGGTCTCTCTCTCTGGTCTCTCTCTCTGGTCCCTCTCCGGTCTCTCTCTCTGGTCTCTCTCTCTGGTCTCTCTCTCTGGTCCCTCTCTGGTCTCTCTCTCTGGTCTCTCTCTCTGGTCTCTCTCTGGTCTCTCTCTGGTCTCTCTCTCTAGTCTCTCTCTGGTCTCTCTCTCTGGTCTCTCTCTCTGGTCTCTCTCTAGTCTCTCTCTCTGCTCTCTCTCTCTGGTCTCTCTTTCTGGTCTCTCTCTGGTCTCTCTCTGGTCTCTCTCTGGTCTCTCTCTCTGGTCTCTCTCTCTGGTCTCTCTCTCTGGTCCCTCTCTAGTCCCTCTCTGGTCTCTCTCTCTGGTCTCTCTCTCTGGTCTCTCTCTGGTCTCTCTCTCTGGTCTGTCTCTGGTCTCTCTCTCTCTGGTCTCTCTCTCTGGTCTCTCTCTCTGGTCTCTCTCTGGTCTCTCTCTCTGGTCTCTCTCTGGTCTCTCTCTCTGGTCTCTCTCTCTGGTCCCTCTCTAGTCCCTCTCTGGTCTCTCTCTCTGGTCCCTCTCTAGTCCCTCTCTGGTCTCTCTCTGGTCTCTCTCTCTGGTCTCTCTCTGGTCTCTCTCTCTGGTCTGTCTCTGGTCTCTCTCTCTCTGGTCTCTCTCTCTGGTCTCTCTCTCTGGTCTCTCTCTGGTCTCTCTCTCTGGTCTGTCTCTGGTCTCTCTCTCTCTGGTCTCTCTCTCTGGTCTCTCTCTCTGGTCTCTCTCTGGTCTCTCTCTCTGGTCTCAAGTTTTCTTGTCTGTTTGGTTTCTGTCTCTGCTTTAAATCAGTTTTTTAAGACATAAAAGTGACACAGAGGACCGCCCTCTCTCAGCCAATCAGCTCTCAGCCAATCCGCTCTCAGCCCAAAGAGTCAGATAAAGAGGGATCTTTCTTATTAGTAGTACAGTGCTGTGATTGACCTCTCGCTGAACCAAAGAAAAACAACCACTCATTGATCTACTGTGCGTAACGTGTACTACATTTACTCAGTATTTACTCAGTCCAAACAGAATATCAGACGTAGTCCTCCCCGCGCCCTCCGTATGTCCCACTGTCAAACCTGGTGACGAGTCCGTGGCTCCGGGGATAGTCAGTGTAGTTCAAAAGGCAAATCCAAGACGTGACGAAACAATGAAAGTGATGCAAACAGAACGGGGAAGTAATCCAAAGGTTTAGAGTGTGGGCAGAGCGCAGTGGGTGAGTGCGCCCACCCTCTCCCTCTCCAGCGTATAAAGTTTATAATCAAAACGGGTAATGTCGTGCGTGAGCGGCGACCGGGCTCTCCTGCGGGTCCGTCCCGAGGGTCCGTACAGTCCGCTACAGTCCGCTACAGTCCGCTACAGTCCGCTACAGTCCGCTACAGTCCGCTACAGTCCGTTACAGTCCGCTACAGTCCGCTACAGTCCGCTACAGTCCGTTACAGTCCGTTACAGTCCGTTACAGTCCGCTACAGTCCGTTACAGTCCGTTACAGTCCGTTACAGTCCGCTACAGTCCGTTACAGTCCGCTACAGTCCGTTACAGTCCGTTACAGTCCGCTACAGTCCGCTACAGTCCGCTACAGTCCGTTACAGTCCGTTACAGTCCGCTACAGTCCGCTACAGTCCGCTACAGTCCGCTACAGTCCGCTACAGTCCGCTACAGTCCGTTACAGTCCGCTACAGTCCGCTACAGTCCGCTACAGTCCGTACAGTCCGTTACAGTCCGCTACAGTCCGTTACAGTCCGCTACAGTCCGCTACAGTCCGCTACAGTCCGTTACAGTCCGTACAGTCCGTTACAGTCCGCTACAGTCCGCTACAGTCCGTTACAGTCCGTTACAGTCCGCTACAGTCCGTTACAGTCCGCTACAGTCCGCTACAGTCCGTTACAGTCCGCTACAGTCCGCTACAGTCCGCTACAGTCCGCTACAGTCCGCTACAGTCCGCTACAGTCCGCTACAGTCCGTTACAGTCCGCTACAGTCCGCTACAGTCCGCTACAGTCCGTTACAGTCCGCTACAGTCCGCTACAGTCCGTTACAGTCCGTACAGTCCGTTACAGTCCGCTACAGTCCGCTACAGTCCGTTACAGTCCGTTACAGTCCGCTACAGTCCGCTACAGTCCGTTACAGTCCGCTACAGTCCGCTACAGTCCGTTACAGTCCGCTACAGTCCGCTACAGTCCGCTACAGTCCGCTACAGTCTGCTACAGTCCGTTACAGTCCGCTACAGTCCGCTACAGTCCGTTACAGTCCGTTACAGTCCGTACAGTCCGTTACAGTCCGCTACAGTCCGCTACAGTCCGCTACAGTCCGTTACAGTCCGTTACAGTCCGTACAGTCCGTACAGTCCGTTACAGTCCGCTACAGTCCGTTACAGTCCGTTACAGTCCGCTACAGTCCGTTACAGTCCGCTACAGTCCGCTACAGTCCGCTACAGTCCGTTACAGTCCGTACAGTCCGCTACAGTCCGTTACAGTCCGTACAGTCTGCTACAGTCCGTTACAGTCCGCTACAGTCCGCTACAGTCCGCTACAGTCCGCTACAGTCCGTTACAGTCCGTACAGTCTGCTACAGTCCGTTACAGTCCGCTACAGTCCGCTACAGTCCGTTACAGTCCGTTACAGTCCGTACAGTCCGCTACAGTCCGCTACAGTCCGCTACAGTCCGTTACAGTCCGCTACAGTCCGTTACAGTCCGCTACAGTCCGCTACAGTCCGTTACAGTCCGCTACAGTCCGCTACAGACTGCTACAGTCCGTTACAGTCCGCTACAGTCCGCTACAGTCCGTTACAGTCCGTTACAGTCCGTTACAGTCCGTTACAGTCCGCTACAGTCCGCTACAGTCCGCTACAGTCTGCTACAGTCCGCTACAGTCCGCTACAGTCCGCTACAGTCCGTTACAGTCCGCTACAGTCCGTACAGTCCGCTACAGTCCGCTACAGTCCGTACAGTCCGCTACAGTCCGCTACAGTCCGTTACAGTCCGCTACAGTCCGTTACAGTCCGTTACAGTCCGTTACAGTCCGCTACAGTCCGCTACAGTCCGTACAGTCCGCTACAGTCCGTTACAGTCCGCTACAGTCCGCTACAGTCCGTACAGTCCGCTACAGTCCGCTACAGTCTGCTACAGTCCGTTACAGTCCGTACAGTCCGCTACAGTCCGTACAGTCCGCTACAGTCCGTTACAGTCCGTTACAGTCCGTTACAGTCCGCTACAGTCCGCTACAGTCCGTACAGTCCGCTACAGTCCGCTACAGTCCGTACCGTCCGCTACAGTCCGTTACAGTCCGTTACAGTCCGTTACAGTCCGTTACAGTCCGTTACAGTCCGTTACAGTCCGCTACAGTCCGCTACAGTCCGCTACAGTCTGCTACAGTCCGTTACAGTCCGCTACAGTCCGTTACAGTCCGCTACAGTCCGTACAGTCCGCTACAGTCCGCTACAGTCCGTACAGTCCGCTACAGTCCGTTACAGTCCGTTACAGTCCGCTACAGTCTGCTACAGTCCGTTACAGTCCGCTACAGTCCGCTACAGTCTGCTACAGTCCGCTACAGTCCGTTACAGTCCGCTACAGTCCGTTACAGTCCGCTACAGTCCGCTACAGTCTGCTACAGTCTGCTACAGTCCGTTACAGTCCGCTACAGTCCGTTACAGTCCGTTACAGTCCGTTACAGTCCGCTACAGTCCGTTACAGTCCGCTACAGTCCGCTACAGTCCGTTACAGTCCGCTACAGTCCGTACAGTCCGCTACAGTCCGCTACAGTCCGTACAGTCCGCTACAGTCCGCTACAGTCCGCTACAGTCCGTACAGTCCGCTACAGTCTGCTACAGTCCGTTACAGTCCGCTACAGTCCGTACAGTCCGTTACAGTCCGTTACAGTCCGCTACAGTCCGCTACAGTCCGTTACAGTCCGTTACAGTCCGTTACAGTCCGCTACAGTCCGTTACAGTCCGCTACAGTCCGCTACAGTCCGCTACAGTCCGTTACAGTCCGTTACAGTCCGCTACAGTCCGCTACAGTCCGCTACAGTCCGTTACAGTCCGCTACAGTCCGTTACAGTCCGCTACAGTCCGTACAGTCCGTTACAGTCCGTTACAGTCCGCTACAGTCCGCTACAGTCCGCTACAGTCCGTACAGTCCGCTACAGTCTGCTACAGTCCGCTACAGTCCGTACAGTCCGTTACAGTCCGTTACAGTCCGCTACAGTCCGCTACAGTCCGTTACAGTCCGTTACAGTCCGCTACAGTCCGTTACAGTCCGTTACAGTCCGCTACAGTCCGCTACAGTCCGCTACAGTCCGCTACAGTCCGTTACAGTCCGTTACAGTCCGCTACAGTCCGCTACAGTCCGTTACAGTCCGCTACAGTCCGTTACAGTCCGCTACAGTCCGTTACAGTCCGTTACAGTCCGCTACAGTCCGTTACAGTCCGCTACAGTCCGCTACAGTCCGCTACAGTCCGCTACAGTCCGTACAGTCCGCTACAGTCCGTTACAGTCCGCTACAGTCCGCTACAGTCCGCTACAGTCCGTTACAGTCCGCTACAGTCCGTTACAGTCCGTTACAGTCCGTTACAGTCCGCTACAGTCCGTTACAGTCCGCTACAGTCCGCTACAGTAATCCTCACACAGATCACCAACTCGAGCCGCGTCCAAAACCAAAAACTTCTTAGTCTCTCTCCCCCGCGCACCTGATGGCAGGTGTCTGATGAGCGCTTCCCCCCCAGGACACGCCCCCCGAGGACACGCCCCCCCTCCCCCCCCATTCATTCACAAAAACATAACTGTCATATGAGGCCCAAATGTAAACAAATACACATTAACACATATTAAACATTTGTGGCTATGCTACAACAGAGTGTTGTGTAGTTGTGTGACAGAGTGTTGTGTTGCAGACTCTGGTGTGGCAGAAGTCCAAGATGGCCGACCTGAGGAGTGCTCTGGTGGCAACTCTGGGACCGAGCACCGTGTCACAGCTACAGCTACTACAGCACCAGTCCAAGGACCCACAGGTACTACCAGAGAGAGACCAGAGAGGGAGACCAGAGAGGGAGACCAGAGAGAGAGACCAGAGAGGGAGACCAGAGAGGGAGACCAGAGAGGGAGACCAGAGAGGGAGACCAGAGAGGGAGACCAGAGAGGGAGACCAGAGAGGGAGACCAGAGAGGGAGACCAGAGAGGGAGACCAGAGAGGGAGACCAGAGAGGGAGACCAGAGAGGGAGACCAGAGAGGGAGACCAGAGAGGGAGACCAGAGAGGGAGACCAGAGAGGGAGACCAGAGAGGGAGACCAGAGAGGGAGACCAGAGAGGGAGACCAGAGAGGGAGACCAGAGAGGGAGACCAGAGAGGGAGACCATAGAAAAGCCAGAGAGAGACACAGAGGACCCCCTCTCTCAGCCAATCAGCTGTCTTCTCTCCACAGATGGTTCTGGAGGGTTTCTTCCCTAAACCAGGAGCAGAGGTTTGCAGCAGCTCAGAGAGAAGCTTCATCTACATCAACGACCGCCCAGTGCAGCACAGGGACATCAGCAAGGTATCACAGGGACACCAGCAAGGTACCAAAGGGACACCTGCAAGGTATCACAGGGACACCAGCAAGGTACCACAGGGACACCTGCAAGGTATCACAGGGACACCAGCAAGGTACCACAGGGACACCTGCAAGGTATCACAGGGACACCAGCAAGGTACCACAGGGCCTCTTTTGGGATGGTTCCTCATGTGAACATGGTGGGATCAGGATTGATGGTTCCTCTTATAAACATGGTGGGATCAGGATTGATGGTTCCTCTTATAAACATGGTGGGATCAGGATTGATGGTTCCTCATGTGAACATGGTGGGATCAGGATTGATGGTTCCTCTTATAAACATGGTGGGATCAGGATTGATGGTTCCTCATGTGAACATGGTGGGATCAGGATTGATGGTTCCTCATGTGAACATGGTGGGATCAGGATTGATGGTTCCTCATGTGAACATGGTGGGATCAGGATTGATGGTTCCTCATGTGAACATGGTGGGATCAGGATTGATGGTTCCTCATGTGAACATGGTGGGATCAGGATTGATGGTTCCTCATGTGAACATGGTGGGATCAGGATTGATGGTTCCTCATGTGAACATGGTGGGATTGATGGTTCCTCTTATGAACATCACATGTGTTCGTCAGATGGTGCGACTGCTCTACAGCTCACAGTTTACAGAGGATTCCAGAAACCGTTTTCCAACATTCATCCTGAAGATCCACGTCTGCCCCTCAACCATCGACGTCAACGTGACCCCAGACAAAACTCAAGTCCTACTGCATCACAAGGTGACCAGAGAGAGAGACCAGAGAGAGAGACCAGAGAGAGAGACCAGAGAGAGAGACCAGAGAGAGAGACCAGAGAGAGAGACAAGAAGTGAGACCAGAGAGAGACAAGAAGTGAGACAGAGAGAGACCAGAGAGAGAGACCAGAGAGAGACCAGAGAGAGACCAGAGAGAGAGACCAGAGAGAGAGACCAGAGAGAGAGACCAGAGAGAGAGACCAGAGAGAGACCAGAGAGAGAGACCAGAGAGAGACCAGAGAGAGACCAGAGAGAGACCAGAGAGAGACCAGAGAGAGACCAGAGAGAGACCAGAGAGAGACCAGAGAGAGACCAGAGAGAGACCAGAGAGAGACCAGAGAGAGACCAGAGAGAGACCAGAGAGAGACCAGAGAGAGACCAGAGAGAGACCAGAGAGAGACCAGAGAGAGAGACCCACCCTCACTCAGCCAATCAGAGCTCAGCTGTATAAAAGTATTCATGTGTTTCATGAACCTGGCCAGTAGGGGGCGCATGAGCAGAGGTGGGACAGTGTCGCTCCCGTTGAAAACCATGTAAAGTCTGTTTTGGAGTCAAAGGCTCTCCTCCTGTGCGGTGTACGGTTGTTGGAACAGTCTTCATCGAGGACACTCCATTCTAAGGGAGGACTAACAAATATTTCTCTCCAAAGAGTCTTGATTTCGGGCATTTTCAAGCGTTTCATTGGGGTGGCCTGCAGGGGGCGCTTATCTGGGAAAGCCTTGAGCCACCTCGCCCGCCTCATTCCAGTGATTTTTTTCAAAGTGTCCTCCTTTATATGAGACCACAGTTGGAACATGAACAAACTGGTCTTTCTCTCTGTTTGTGCGGTTGCTACAAGCGTACACCGCACAGAAAGATGGCATTTTGACTTCTTCTACTATATCTCCGTGTATAAACCACTTCTACTATATCTCCGTGTATAAACCGCTTCTACTATATCTCTGTGTATAAACCGCTTCTTCTTCTACTATATCTCCGTGTATAAACCACTTCTTCTTCTACTATATCTCTGTGTATAAACCACTTCTTCTTCTACTATATCTCTGTGTATAAACCACTTCTTCTTCTACTATATCTCCGTGTATAAACCACTTCTTCTTCTACTATATCTCCGTGTATAAACCCGGCAGACTGCACCGCCAGGGTACGTCACGCCCTGTACCACGTTTGTTATTCACTGCCCTGACGCCATATGGAACACAAGAATAGGAGTGATGTCTAATGTGATTAATTGTGTGTTTTCAGGACGCCGTATTGGCCGCATTAGAACAACTCCTGCTTTCGCTTTATGGCTCCAAGTCCATCACCAGGAGCCTCTCCGCGGAGCAGCAGTCTGGCACACAAGATTTAGGCCCAAAAACAACTTCCAAAAGAAAAGAACCTTGTTCAGAAAGCCTGACCTCTGAGATCAAAGACAGTTCCCATAGCAACAGCTCCTCGTCCTCCGTCCTCGACGACTGGATCGTGGACCAGATTCCTTCTGACTTTTCCATTTGCGATGATGAAAATATGGCTCAGAATGCTTCAAACTTGACTTGGAATTCTCCGGTAAAGCCTGAAGACAGTACGGAAGCCTGTAAGGACCAGATCACTTCAAACAGAAGCAGAGCTCAGAACGATGATGACTTCACTGGGGATTCTCCAGATCCACCTGAAGAGACCAAAGAAGCTTCCAAGGACTTTTCTTCAGAGGCCTGGAGCAGAGGGACCGCCCTGAGAGATGCAGAGTCCAACCAGCCTCTTCAGCCCATCTCAGTCCTCCAGAACCAGCCTCTTCAGCCCGTCTCAGTCCTCCAGAACCAGGCAGAGAGACCGAGAGACCATGGGGAACCTGAGGCTCAGCAACTCTCAAACTCCATCATTGAGAAGCGTGCGGCTCTCTCTGCGTTTGACGTTCTGTCCGGCCGTGTGGTGAGGACGCCGCTGTCTCCGGCCGCTCTGTTCGAGAAGGAGACCAGAACCAGGATGGTTCTGGAGAACCCCAAAGCTTCGCTGCAGCAGATCAACGACACCGTCCGCCAGAGATGGACCGGGCTGAGCCAGGAGCAGAGAAAGAGGTGACATTAGACACAAACTCTTTCTAGACCGTTTCTCACATGTGGCTCAGGACCTGAAGGACATAGAACCAACACACGGTCACACATGATGGAGGTCAGAACATAGAACCAACACACGGGTCACACATGATGGAGGTCAGAACATAGAACCAACACACGGGTCACACATGATGGAGGTCAGAACATAGAACCAACACACGGGTCATACATGATGGAGGTCAGAACATAGAACCAACACACGGTCATACATGATGGAGGCCAGAACCTAGAACCAACACACGGGTCATACATGATGGAGGTCAGAACATAGAACCAACACACGGTCATACATGATGGAGGTCAGAACATAGAACCAACACACGAGTCACACATGATGGAGGTCAGAACATAGAACCAACACACGGGTCATACATGATGGAGGTCAGAACATAGAACCAACACACGGTCATACATGATGGAGGTCATAACATAGAACCAACACACGGTCATACATGATGGAGGTCAGAACATAGAACCAACACACGGTCATACATGATGGAGGTCAGAACATAGAACCAACACACGGTCATACATGATGGAGGTCAAAACATAGAACCAACACACGGTCATACATGATGGAGGTCATAACATAGAACCAACACACGGTCATACATGATGGAGGTCAAAACATAGAACCAACACACGGTCATACATGATGGAGGTCAGAACATAGAACCAACACACGGTCATACATGATGGAGGTCAGAACATAGAACCAACACACGGGTCACACATGATGGAGGTCAGAACATAGAACCAACACACGGTCATACATGATGGAGGTCAGAACATAGAACAAACACATGGTCATACATGATGGAGGTCAGAACATAGAACCAACACACGGGTCACACATGATGGAGGTCAGAACATAGAACCAACACACGGTCATACATGATGGAGGTCAGAACATAGAACAAACACATGGTCATACATGATGGAGGTCAGAACATAGAACCAACACACGGGTCACACATGATGGAGGTCAGAACATAGAACCAACACACGGGTCACACATGATGGAGGTCAGAACATAGAACCAACACACGGGTCACACATGATGGAGGTCAGAACATAGAACCAACACACGGTCATACATGATGGAGGCCAGAACATAGAACCAACACACGGGTCACACATGATGGAGGTCAGAACATAGAACCAACACACGGGTCATACATGATGGAGGTCAGAACATAGAACCAACACACGGGTCATACATGATGGAGGTCAGAACATAGAACCAACACACGGGTCATACATGATGGAGGTCAGAACATAGAACCAACACACGGTCATACATGATGGAGGCCAGAACCTAGAACCAACACACGGGTCATACATGATGGAGGTCAGAACATAGAACCAACACACCGTCATACATGATGGAGGTTAGAACATAGAACCAACACACGGGTCACACATGATGGAGGTCAGAACATAGAACCAACACACGGTCATACATGATGGAGGTCAGAACATAGAACCAACACACGGTCATACATGATGGAGGCCAGAACCTAGAACCAACACACGGTCATACATGATGGAGGTCAGAACATAGAACCAACACACCGTCATACATGATGGAGGTTAGAACATAGAACCAACACACGGGTCACACATGATGGAGGTCAGAACATAGAACCAACACACGGTCATACATGATGGAGGTCAGAACATAGAACCAACACACGGTCATACATGATGGAGGTCAGAACATAGACCCAAGACACGGTCATACATGATGGAGGTCAGAACATAGAACCAACACACTGTCATACATGATGGAGGTCAGAACATAGAACCAACACACGGGTCACACATGATGGAGGTCAGAACATAGAACCAACACACGGTCATACATGATGGAGGTCAGAACCTAGAACCAACACATGGTCATACATGATGGAGGTCAGAACATAGAACCAACACACAGGTCATACATGATGGAGGTCAGAACATAGAACCAACACACGGGTCATACATGATGGAGGTCAGAACATAGAACCAACACACGGTCATACATGATGGAGGTCAGAACATAGAACCAACACACGGGTCATACATGATGGAGGTCAGAACATAGAACCAACACACGGGTCATACATGATGGAGGTCAGAACATAGAACCAACACACGGGTCATACATGATGGAGGTCAGAACATAGAACCAACACACGGTCATACATGATGGAGGTCAGAACATAGAACCAACACACGGTCATACATGATGGAGGTCAGAACATAGAACCAACACACGGTCATACATGATGGATGTCAGAATATAGAACCAACACACGGTCATACATGATGGAGGTCAGAACATAGAACCAACACACGGGTCATACATGATGGAGGTCAAAACATAGAACCAACACACGGTCATACATGATGGAGGTCAGAACATAGAACCAACACACGGGTCATACATGATGGAGGTCAGAACATAGAACCAACACACGGTCATACATGATGGAGGTCAGAACATAGAACCAACACACGGGTCATACATGATGGAGGTCAGAACATAGAACCAACACACGGTCATACATGATGGAGGTCAGAACATAGAACCAACACACGGTCATGCATGATGGAGGCCAGAACCTAGAACCAACACACGGGTCACACATGATGGAGGTCAGAACATAGAACCAACACACGGGTCATACATGATGGAGGCCAGAACCTAGAACCAACACACGGGTCACACATGATGGAAGTCAGAACATAGAACCAACACACGGTCATACATGATGGAGGTCAGAACATAGAACCAACACACGGGTCACACATGATGGAGGTCAGAACATAGAACCCACACACGGGTCATACATGATGGAGGTCAGAACATAGAACCAACACACGGGTCATACATGATGGAGGTCAGAACATAGAACCAACACACGGGTCATACATGATGGAGGTCAGAACATAGAACCAACACACGGGTCATACATGATGGAGGTCAGAACATAGAACCAACACACGGGTCACACATGATGGAGGTCAGAACATAGAACCAACACACGGGTCACACATGATGGAGGTCAGAACATAGAACCAACACACGGGTCATACATGATGGAGGTCAGAACATAGAACCAACACACCGTCATACATGATGGAGGTCAGAACATAGAACCAACACACGGGTCATACATGATGGAGGTCAGAACATAGAACCAACACACGGGTCATACATGATGGAGGTCAGAACATAGAACCAACACACGGGTCATACATGATGGAGGTCAGAACATAGAACCAACACACGGTCATACATGATGGAGGTCAGAACATAGAACCAACACACGGTCATACATGATGGAGGTCAGAACATAGAACCAACACACGGGTCATACATGATGGAGGTCAGAACATAGAACCAACACACGGGTCACACATGATGGAGGTCAGAACATAGAACCAACACACGGGTCATACATGATGGAGGTCAGAACATAGAACCAACACACGGGTCATACATGATGGAGGTCAGAACATAGAACCAACACACGGGTCATACATGATGGAGGTCAGAACATAGAACCAACACACGGGTCATACATGATGGAGGTCAGAACATAGAACCAACACACGGGTCACACATGATGGAGGTCAGAACATAGAACCAACACACGGGTCATACATGATGGAGGTCAGAACATAGAACCAACACACGGTCATACATGATGGAGGTCAGAACATAGAACCAACACACGGGTCATACATGATGGAGGTCAGAACATAGAACCAACACACGGGTCATACATGATGGAGGTCAGAACATAGAACCAACACACGGGTCATACATGATGGAGGTCAGAACATAGAACCAACACACGGGTCATACATGATGGAGGTCAGAACATAGAACCAACACACGGGTCACACATGATGGAGGTCAGGTACTGAGTTCACTTCGAGTTCACGCAACATCTACCTGATGACCACACAACAACTACTGGTGTCTCTCTCGCTCTGAACCCAGCAGTAGAAAAGCAGGAGTGCAGCAGGAGTGCAGCAGGAGTGCAGCAGGAGTGCAGCAGGAGTGCAGCAGGAGTGCAGCAGGAGTGCAGCAGGAGTGCAGCAGGAGTGCAGCAGGAGAGCAGCAGGAGAGCAGCAGGAGAGCAGCAGGAGAGCAGCAGGAGCGCAGCAGGAGAGCAGCAGGAGCGCAGCAGGAGCGCAGCAGGAGCGCAGCAGGAGCGCAGCAGGAGCGCAGCAGGAGTGCAGCAGGAGTGCAGCAGGAGTGCAGCAGGAGTGCAGCAGGAGTGCAGCAGGAGTGCAGCAGGAGTGCAGCAGGAGAGCAGCAGGAGCGCAGCAGGAGAGCAGCAGGAGAGCAGCAGGAGAGCAGCAGGAGAGCAGCAGGAGCGCAGCAGGAGCGCAGCAGGAGCGCAGCAGGAGAGCAGCAGGAGAGCAGCAGGAGAGCAGCAAGAGAGCAGCAGGAGAGCAGCAGGAGAGCAGCAGGAGAGCAGCAGGAGAGCAGCAGGAGCGCAGCAGGAGCGCAGCAGGAGCGCAGCAGGAGCGCAGCAGGAGCGCAGCAGGAGCACAGCAGGAGAGCAGCAGGAGAGCAGCAGGAGCGCAGCAGGAGCGCAGCAGGAGCGCAGCGTCACGAGTCTTGGCTGCGGTCGCTCTGTTCACCAGAGAGATGCCATCTGTGAGAGATGCCATCTGTGAGAGATGCCATCTGTGAGAGATGCCATCTGTGAGAGATGCCATCTGTGAGAGAAACCATCTGTGAGAGAAACCATCTGTGAGAGAAACCATCTGTGAGAGATGCCATCTGTGAGAGATGCCATCTGTGAGAGATGCCATCTGTGAGAGATGCCATCTGTGAGAGATGCCATCTGTGAGAGATACTATCTGTGAGAGATGCCATCTGTGAGAGATGCCATCTGTGAGAGATGCCATCTGTGAGAGATGCCATCTGTGAGAGATGCCATCTGTGAGAGATG